GTTTCGCTATTTGAATCAGTTAGAGACCTTTAGTCCATTTGCTTTCGATTTTCCACATTCCTTTTGAGCTCCTCACTTCTTTCCGGCTTCGCATTTCTTAGCTTTAGACCTCATAATGAATAAGGTTGATGCACTACTTCGCACTCCGTTTTCGCAGCTGCCGCTGGAACAAAAATTAGAGGTACAACGTCTTGGGCCTTATCAACCAAAAAATTGTTCACTGGAACAATCCATGACGGAGGAAAGCGTCGCGTACATTCTGCGCAGAAACTTGGTATAAAAAACACGAATGGTTGTGTTACAGCGAGGACAAAAATGCACTTTTTTGTTTTTATTGCCTACTTTTTGCTACCGTCCGTGACTCACGTTGGTGTAAATTTGGTTTTAGAGATCTTAAACATCTTTCCGAGCGTGCCAGGGATCATCAATCTTCTATGGAGCAACTGGACAATGCAGTAAAATACCGAACATTCGGAAATGTTAATATTGCAGCACAGTTGGATGAAGGACGCGCGGTTTCTATTCGTCGGCACAACCAAAACGTCGAGAAAAACCGCCATGTTCTCGGTCGATTGATAGATGTTTTGAAGTTCATTGGTTGTCACGAGCTGTCCCTCCGTGGGCACGATGAACGGGCTGGTTCTTCTAATAGAGGGGTATTTTTGGATATGGTGGAATACACCGCATCTCTAGATACAGTATTGAGAGATCATCTTGATGCCGCAACTGTTTCGAAAGGGACATCTAAGGATATTCAAAATGATTTGCTCGACTCAATGTATAAAATTTATTTACAACATTTGGCCCTGGAAATTGAGAATTGCCAGTTCCTTTCGATTCAGTCTGACGAGACAACTGACATCACGTGCGTTTCCCAACTGGCTGTGATTTTTCGGTTTGTGAAAGATGGTAAACCTGCCGAGAGATTTCACAGCTTTGTACCAATCGTTGATCGCACGGCTTGCGGGATATCGGCTGTACTGAAAGAAGTGTTACAGCCTTACAACGTGAAGTCAAAATTGATAGCTCAAACTTATAACGGCGCGGCAGTCATGAGTGGGTCGAAACATGGTGTTCAAGTTTATATAAAAAAAAGATTTTCCTCATGCGCATTTTTTACATTGTTATGCACACCAATTTAACCTCGTTATTAAAAACATGCGTCTTGATACCCCTCTCGTCCGTATATTTTTTGCAAATGTTTCGGGGTTTTCTTCATTTTTTTCCGTTTCGCTGAAGCGCTCTGACCTCCTTCGCCAGATATGTAGCCGCCGTCTCCCAGCTTGTGCACCAACACGTTGGAACTTCCAATCACGCGTGGTGCAGGGCGTGTCCGAAATTAGGTCTGAGCTCATTGAGTGTTTCAATGGCATTCAGAGCTCTCCGGTTTGGGACGAACGCTCTGTGAGGGAGACGGCAGGTCTAAAGCGTCTGCTAAAAAGATGGTGAGTTTTCATTTTTTCTCGCTTTTTTGTATATATATATATATATATTGAGACACCATTAGAGGGCCTAATCCTTAAAGCAACAAAATACAAATACGTAGCTGAATTTAATGTATATTTAATAAGATTTAGTAAGATAGACAGTTTTTAGTGGAGTAAGCAGTTTTTAATGCCATTTGTTGTATTCTGTTCCGTCTAACAACCCAATACCACCAAGTTGTAAGATAGATAGGCTTAATTATGGGAGATTATTTATATGTTAAAGTAACCACGACGTCATCAAGTAGATGATAAATGACGTCATCACATTAGATGTACATATCATAACACACTCCCTTGATAAATTCGACTCTCATATTGATGTAGATATACCAATCTGAGGGTGAACTCGGATAAATCGACAAGTGATTGGTTTTGGGAACATGTTGATTACGTTGGTGTCTACGTCAGAATTTCCTGCAAATATCTGAAGAAAACATAGAGGTGAACTGGTTTCATAATATGAAATGTATTTATTAAAATGGTTTGCTTCTAGCATAAAAAGCTTAATCGACCTATTTGCACATTCTACGTTACTTTATCGGGTCATATTGTTTCATTATGCCAGTGAAAGGACAAAACGCTAAATTTCAATATTCATTTTGGAGAAAATTTAAATAGTGAATCAGCAATCCAGTATAAAAGATTTCATCCTACCACGATGTCACGACTAGAAAACGAAACTTCGTTACGTAAATATCAAGTTCTTTTATTCCGACTGCAAAGTGGTCATTGCGCCCTGAATGCACATTTACATAAAATTGGCTGTCATTCTGACGGATTTTGTGAACAGTGTTCCGTACCCGAGACCGTAGCCCACTACCTATTGCATTGTCAACGATATAATCATCAAAGGAGCCCAGTCATTAGCAAAGCCAGAAAACTTAAACTGGAAATGACTTTGGAAGAAGTGCTTAGTAACATGGACATTATTGAAACTGTTATCGAATTTGTTTTGTCTACGGGCAGAAATGTTTAGAAATAATTACGTATTGCAATTGGTTCAATTGTATAATTATATATTCGTAAATATTTTATTATATGTTAGTATAGTATTTTTAAATTTGAATTGATCAATGGCGCAAAAGACCCGTGAAGTTATAAGCGCCATAAAACATATAACAACAACAACAAATATATTTTCCATGACTCCATAGAAGACGAACAAAATCTGCGTGCAATACAAGCAGTTAAGAAAAAAATAGTTAAATTAATAAATTTATCTCAGCTTCCAGTTTCTATAAACCATCGCCTACCTTTCATATATTTTTGAAATACATTTTCGTGCGCTTCAGGTAAAGAAAACAATTATCTCATTTCCCCCAAAATGTTCCCAAAATTCACATCCTGGACGACTCTGGAACAAGGGTACAGCTACCTAACTTACCAGTACCGGTATAATACCCTAGCTTCTCCAGGCCCTGTGGCGATGATGATTTATGCATCTATTCTCATCGTGAACCGAAATACCGAATGATTCGAGTCACACTTGCAATATCAAATCTTTTACAATATCTGTAGCCTAGCGTAACTTATTATCCTACCGGCTACCTTCAGCTTATCAAAAGCTCTCGTTTTCGCTGACCACGGGATCGGTGACATACGGTCGCGGAAATGCAACAAGTAGATTATGATGACGTCACCATAAAACTCTTTTAAGTTAAAAACGAATGGACCTTTCCCTGACCTTTGACCCCCGGAAAATTCTCTCTATACCCTACCATTGCAAAATTTTCAGGGCTATTTTAAGAGTGCTTTTGCGAGTTGGCGCCTGTAAAATGGGGTATGTGTTTCAAACCATCATTATGATTCATCGCATACAACAATCTGTTTTTTAAAAGTACCGGTAAAGAATTTCAGGCTAGGCTATCACAGCTATTTTTACACTAATTTTTATTACTGCAATTAAATTAAAGCTCCTAGGAAGACAGTGTGATCATTGAATTATCTGATTTATATTTAAGTTTCCTAAACACAACTGAAAACTAACGAATAGAGTTCAAAATCGCGAAAACGAGGTAATGTTTACATCCACGCTTGAAAATCTGTCTGAGTGAGAAAAGTGTCTGAGCGAATGCGAAAAGGGGGCATTGTTACGTCACTTTTTGCATCTTGCTGATTGGCCAATGTCACGATGTAAACAAGGAAGTCGATGCTCGGGGAAAGGTCCATCCCATGGACCTTTCCCGACATCAAAACATCCGTATTCTCAACCAATCACAAGCGAGCAGATGTAAACAAACATTCTTCGCTGAAAAGTCGCTCAGACAACTTTGGACGCGTTCCGCGCAGGTTGCTGGCGGTTTAGACAGATCTTTGTTCCTTTTTGTTTTCTCTATAGGGATGCGAGAATTAGAAAGCTGTAATACTGTATGTTACTTGTTGCAAATCACGTTCACGCAATCTATACTAAAAGGATGTACCCTAGTCATATACCGAAAACTATTTTTTTGATATTTGTTTATGTGTGCATAAATTGTTTTCTTGGTTTGACAAAATGAAATAAACTCTCAGTTAAGGTACCGTACAGGTCAACCAACTGCTATTTCGAACCAAAAAATAGTAGACAGTCATACCGGTCCCGGTACTGATGCAATCAAGGGTACCGGGTACCGGTACCGGTAGCCTACCGTATGTCAGTACGGAAGAATTCGCCTTCGATACAATGTTGCATTTTTATTAAACAGAATCTATTAGTGAATTATTTTCGTAGACTAGCCTAACTATGTTTAAACGGTGCATATGGTATTTGTCGGTCTGGCAACCTGTACGGTACCCCTGACGTTCAAATGGAGTAACATTTGTGCCTTTTCCGAAGCCACATAGCCTATTGACCACCAAAAAGCAATGAGGTGGATAAAGGAATGCAACAGGCCTCACAGTCGATTCAACCTAGGAAAAATCACCAGAAATACCTACGTGTGTACCAAGGTAGGCCAACATAAATATTGTTTTCGATACCTATGATATATTCAATATGTTGATTTTTATATGAAATAAATTTTCATACAAGCAATGCGTTCCATAATGCATTTTCATGGAGGCGATGGACCAACTGATGGATACCCTGACCCTATATCAGATTCTTGTCGCCCAAAGCACCATCAAATAGTGATGTAAGGATTACTTATATCATAATTTAACAGGATCTGTCACCAGATACTTCATTTGATATAGAGACATGCGAATCTGACGAAAGTGAGAAAGGATTGTCAGGGATCCAACCAGATCTGCCCCCAGACTCTTTAGTTGAAACTACCTCAAGTGTCGCTAATGAAAATGACAGTGCTTTGTCAGACAGCAGAAAAATGTAAGCAAGCATCGTCATCATTTTATTTTGGTTCTCTGGCATAAAACAACACAAAAAGTCAACATACAAACAAAATGCAGAGAAAACTGGAAGTCGAGCATAACTTAAAATAGATTTCAAAAAGTAGGCGGCTACCTACAAGAAAAGAAATAATAATAATAAAAGGGCACGAAAGAATTAACAAGATTCAGAATCAGGCAACACTTTTAACGTAATTCACAATGAGATAACACACTTCTTCCAGCATTGGTGTCATATTTGCTAACTGTAAAAATGATGAATAAAGAAGGAAAATTAATATTGAAGACTTGGGACTTCATGCAGAATCTTTCACAATCTATTGGTGATAAAATGATGTTACTTTATGGAGGATGCTTCGCATGCATGCCATGTCCGGTGTGACCCTGGTGATTGCAATATCATTTTTATGCGGACTGCAAAGTCACACCAAGCTGCTTCTGATACCAGAAGTTGGCCCTGCACTTGGTAGTATCTGTGGTGTGTGATAAATATCCTTATTTTGTTAGGTTGTTTTGCATTTATCACTGTCATATAAATTACAACTTGTTCATAATCACCTGATAACTTTAGAACCGAACCAAGTGGTGGGTGTTTGCCCATCTGACTATGGGCTGACTATATAACAATGAGGTAGTGCTCAGTGAGCGCAATTCTCCCATATTATCAGGAGATGAAACCAGGCAGCTTTATAAAATAACTCAGCAGTAAAATCTTTGTGATGCATTATGTCTGTGAATGGAATTGTGAAATGAATTTAATTCTATTATTTTGACGTTCCATTGCTTCCATGGTTTTGTTTGTTGTGCCTAAAAGCATATATCTGGTGTGTATTTTTATCCTATACAACACAATATCTGGAAAACTGTATAATTTGTAGTAATTTTCTTGGATTTTTTTTCCTTCTTGTCCCTTCATCATATATTTTTTATAATCTGTTATATTCTATTTCTACACTGAATGAATAAACCATATTGCGAAACCTATCAGATACCCGACTGTTTTTGGTTGAACCGGTATGATTGGAACTCTGGCTCGATCTAACTTTGTGGGCTTAGCACCAACTACAGACGACAAAACTGTTGGATCTATTTTGTTCCTCCATATAGGTTGTTACCAATGCTGGGGAAGGCTTGTACATGCTTGGCTTGGCAAAAATCTTTTATTCCCTCAATTTCATCTGTTGTATAGTCTTGGTTAGTCCAACGATATGGCAACAAGCACCAGTAGTTCTGATGAATATGTAACAATTTTCAAACCATGTTTACCACTATAACATTATTGGTCTTGTAATTTTATGTGGTATGTAATCGATCATAATACCTCAATAAACCTGTTGAATCTAATCTTTCGATAATTTGCACCCATCTTACTGAGCTAATAAATCTGTGTTTCTATGATACGGCATAAACTTAAGTGCCCTCACCGTGCCTAGCATGTACAAATTGCATCAGAGACTTGGTGACTATGAACCAAGATTGACGATTGAACCACCATGAACATATCTGAAAAAAATATTCATCTGTTCATAATTACAGATTGATGTACCGTAGTTTGTGCAAAAAGGACTTTTTGAACTGCCCCTGCATTTCTATACTAAACCCACCACTTTAGTCCTAACTTGGACGCTATCTATTAGTCTATGAACCATGGGATACGGTACCGGTAGTCACACAGGTCTCGCAGTCCTCTGACATTCTTCAACCATATAAGTTTAAATATCACCTTTCAATGAAATTTTTTTATATCCTTCTCCAGCTGGTGGAAAGAAAAGTTCTTGGAGAACCAAGTCAAAGAAAAGTCATCTCTGAGTGATTCCATTTTTTGTATGATAATGAAGCTTTTGGAACTAAGTTAGGTACGGTAACGGCAATGTGGAGGCGGAATAACGTTAATAATAGATCACTTGACAATATCTCATATCTCTAGAAGCACGAAAATACCGCCATCACCAGTGAAATGCCATTCGAAGGCATTTAAAGCGAGCAACGTACCACTCTATCGCCCTACACAAGCCTGAATATTTGCAATGTTTGTCTGAGCGACCAAAATCAAAACAATAAAGGTCAAAGGTCGGGGAAAGGTCCATAGAGCCCAAAGAAATTTATGAAATGAATAAAAGCAATAGCTTTCTAGCGATAACAACAATCTTTTACCACAGAGAATTTTAAATTGGTCCGGTAGTTGAAGAGAAAAGCGATTTTTCACGACCACTTGAAAAAGAATACCAACAACAATATCTTAATAACAAAACGATCCACCGTGTCCAATAAAAAGGATCACCGCAATAATGAGAATGTGTGGTGTCTTTAAAGTACCTTTTCTACTCCACTCTCTTGGATGGTAGCCAGAGAACTAGTGCTGAGACCAGGGTTGCCATATTGGCTTTTGTAACGCCAAATTTGCCATTTTTGGCTTTTTTCAAACGCGTTTGGCGTCAGAATTTCCGTTTGGCTTTTTGGCGTTTTTTGGGCTTTTTTCAAGTCTATTGTTGTGACTATTATTAAAATCATATGAAATACAATATTTAGTGTGTAAAAACTGAACAATAGCCTATTACCTGTACTTAGCTACTTAACATTAGGATTTCCTGGATTTCCTTGTTTGTTACATTAAATCTTAACCATACACAATAAGAAGTAAGTGCAGTTTCTGCAGCTGCTCAGACAGATGTTCAAGCAGGGTTGTAAACATTGCCTCGTTTTTATTGTTTTGCGTGTTATTTGTCAGTTTACGTTCTGTTTCCAAAAAATAGTTGTATAACCTAATTTTCATTTTGCCTGATATGGTTTATGTGAGCTCTCAGCTTTAGTTTAATTCTGCAATTGCAATTGCAGTAACGATGTGATTAACTACGCTAAAATTACTGAATTAGATATCAGTGGTCCACCTGTGAGCGGCAGGGGGTTAGATAATTTTTTAATAAAATTGATGGTTTATAAATTTTAAAAGTAAAAAAATTTCAATAGTAAAGTACGATATCGAGAGAATTTTTTTTAAGCTGTAGCACAAGTTTAAGTAGAAACATATTGTAGGTATATTACATACTGACAGACTGAAGCGGCACCCTGTATTGTATATATTGAATGGTAAAATAATGCTGCCCGCTTGATATTCATTTTACTTTCTACAGTTCTATAGGAACTTTACTTTCTATTTGTGTGCCTCACTGAATGAACTGATGGCTCCGCACCATCATCAGTACGTTGCCAAGGGCTTAAAATCTGACAAATCATGGGGCATTTGTACTTAGTAAAATTGTTGGCTTTTTTATGTCTTGATTTGGCTTTTTTTGATCGCTGGGGTCTGGCAACCCTGGCTGAGACCACAAGATACTGTGAAAAACGCTACCCATTGTGCAACGGCATCTCTTTCTTGTGTAATTATTCCACCAACTAGTTCCGGTCTTCCGAAGTCTACTTGAAGCCATTCGTCCTTTTGATCTGGCGGTAGAAAATCAAAAATGTATGTGATTTATTACATTCATATAAAGTTTATTTATTGTTTTCTTTTCTATTACTGAAACTAACTGTTTTTTGGCGACCATCTTCCACAATCTTCTGTTTTAGCTCTGTTATCAAGCCTTCCATGATACGCCTGATGATATTCGTCGTATATTGATGAAGCTGTAATAGCTGAGTCCGGTATATCTCTGCTCCTCATTCCCAAATAACAGTATGTGCCCATGTAGCGAAGGTTAGATAATAACAAAAAATTAAAGGTCGAACACACAAAAACTTCAAACGTCAATGGAAGATATAATTTGACATTGTCGATATTTAGACCATGCTTCTGTAACAGAGCATGCAACAATTTTATATGATTGTATGTTTTATATGATTTTGTATGATTGTATTTTGAATAAAGTTAAACGAAAAAAAAATTTCCCAAATAATTCAAAAGACAAATGGCATTGGAATACTTACTTCTTGGCAAAGCTTCAATGATCTGATTTGTCTTTGTGAGTGAATCTTAATTAAAAAAGTATAAATTCGTGACAGTCATTGATAGGATAGAATCAATAGGTTATTATATGTATGCAAACCATTCGCTGTCGCTGGGTGATGCGCATGAGCACGGGTCGGTTACGGAAAACCATGCATTTGGATCAAGTAACTTGTTATAATTTCTTATTTGAGCGAAGAAAAATATATATATAAGTCTATGTGTGACCATGATAAGCCTTCACCTTCAAGTTCTCTAATTCTTTCTTCCAGATTCTCAGCAGTTCCCTGTTCGCCCTTTTGGCCCTTCGCCCCTGTCGGTCCTATTTCACCAGGACTGCCTTGACATTGGCTCGAATCACAAATCAGCTGACCTGCGTCTCCATTTGCCACAACATGCGAGCAGAATTCATACACTGTTGGCATGTGACAGCTGGCTAAGTGTAGGAAAATGAAAAAGGCAAAAAGCTAAAGTAGTCTTCATATTCGCTTCGGAAAAAATTAAATGAAACGAATCGAATATTTCAAATATCAGCATTAGATATTAAAACTTTATACCAATAACGATTTATATACGCGGTGTGAGATTCATATCCAAGCTCCATAATTAGTCCTTTGTGAAAAAATGACTTCAAAAGAAATCTGCTAAGTTAATCCCGCAAATGAGCGAACGGACATGCTGACGTGAACTGCTTTCGTAATTGCGCTAAACAAGACCCATAGATTTGAAAACTTCTCTAACACTCGGCCTATTAGTGATTTTTGTAAACTGTTTGTCAGAAGAAGTCTGATTTTGATCAGACAAAACGTTACAGAAATATATTTGTGTTAGTGTGCAGCAGGACTCTTGAATGCACATTATGGCATTTTCATTCCTGCTACAGCAACCTTGCATTATACGCATACGGATCCACTAGCGCAAAGACATTGAAAAAGATTTGAGTTGGTCTCGCGCAACCTCTACTGATAGTTGTAATAAAAGGGTTGTGATATTAACATCTGGTTCCGTTATCTTTGCATCCGCGTACACGTGCACTTGTAAACTGCATCCAGGAAGTTTGCATATGCATACTTTTCAACCCACGGACATTTGTGCGTAAAGAAATTTGTACCTGTACGCCAGGATTCATGAGGTCATAAGGCAAGGGTCGGGAACCCATGGCTCGCGAGCCATATATGATGACGGCATATGGCTCCCAGAAAAATCTGATATTCCAAGGCTAAAATTACAATGTTACTACCAGATTTCAAACTATATAGTTATAGCCAAATTTGGGAGAACATTTGCCAATACGCTTGAGAAACACGCGCTCAGCGCTTTTCTATGTTATGGTGAGAGAAGCGCCAGACAAGCATTGTGACAAAACTAGGGAATTCTGGGACATATTTTGTGATATCACGAAACGATAAAGTTGCGAAGCATAAAAGAAAAGCCTTCCGTCCGTTTGTACTGCTTATTTGTAATATTTGGATTATTTCAGGAACTACGGATAAGCTTTAAAGAAAGAAAGGCGATGAGTATTGTGGATTTCAACATGTGTTGGATGTGAACAGTCGTTCAAGGACGACAACATGCAGCATGAGAAGTCATATTAGAAGTTTATTGAGACATTGTATGTGTTGACTTTTGAGTAAAAATTTAAGACATGATTAAGGAAAGGAAACCGCTGTATTAGTCCGGCAGAATCGGGCCTTAACATTGTTTTGGGACATAAAGTTTTTTTTTATTGTTTAGATATAATGTATATGACATATATAATGATACCCAGGTGGGTGTGGAGTATATAATGTTGAGCAATTTTTTTAAGTGGATTTAAAGTATTCGGTCCAAGATGACGCACATCCTGAACCCCCACCTGGTAAGCATACAATATTCAGGTTGTGCGCCATCTTGGTACGAATACTTCAGGAGCGCCCTTTTGTTAAAAACAATTATTTCATAACTACATGGTTAGTTTTGCATACATAGTAACATTGAATCTCCTTACAATGTCAGAAATTCAATTTTAGTAGAATAAATGTAGTTTATTTCGCTAATACAAGCCAAGATCCATCGACAGTATCTAGCCACTTTCTATTGCGCTCTTCAAACTACATTTGCGTCGCCGCGCGCATTTCGTTTTCCTAGTTTAAGCTTAGGGACTTGGGAAATATTTTATTAGTTGAATTGGATTGGAATATTTGACCTCGTCTTTCACTCCGAACAAGGAACAAGGCCATGTAAAACCATCCACCAGTGTATCTAAAGATGTGTAACGTTTTTCTTTTGGAAGAACCGCAACCTTTCAGTGCTGCATTGACTTTGGCAAAATTAATATATCCTTGTGGAGATAGAAGGTATGCGTATGCGAAACCGAGATGTGCACCTGTTATGCCAACATAGTTGAGTCAAACGTTTTGAATACTAGTACATCACACACATTTTCCTGCGTGCTTCGGTTGTACGTAGTAACGCGCACATTTTTGCGCACATGCATCAAATTCCACTTGATTATTGAGCTATAGGTTTTTGACGAGCTTTTGTGTATGATTTCATTCCATAGAATTTGTATGCTGTTCTAAAGAATACTAGTTTCAGCTTTTTCATTCATTCAAACCGCGTGTTGAAAGTAAGTTTTGTAATATTGCGTGTTGGTTTCCAACATCCTTAAATCGGTGATGCCAGTAAATCTTTAATACAAAAAGATCAGTAACATCTGCAATAAAAACAGCAGTACCCACTCAAATGACAGCTGGGGGATGGATACTCTTAGTATCTGCTCCATCGCGTGCCTCTTACAGTCTTACCAGTTTACATGAGTGCCAATTGGTATCTAAGCAAAAAGTTTCGGACTGCAGTTGGCGTGACGAAATGTTTTTAAATATATATTCTACAATAAGATTATTTGATTGCATACTACTGAAAGTTCCGCCTTATATGTCTTTTCCCATTGCACTATTCCTTTACTGATATTCGATAATATGACGCTCATCTGACATAGTTCTTAAAGTGTGTAGATGGGTATAATCTTTTCCACGCTGTTCAGATGGGAATGCGCGAATATATATAAGAATTGCTAATATTGGTTTGCAATGCGATGAAATCCCATCTTGGCATTTCTGCCTCTCGCAATTGCTGCGTATACTTATCGGGGAAGTTCTGTGGCGTGGTTATCAAATGAAAAAAAAACATGGGAGTATTTTTTCTACTTCTCTACTACTATCAAACCTTGACATTTTGTGAAAACTTTTTTCCATGCAACCTTTTTTTAAAACATCCCCAACAACCACAATTAATTCTGTTATTAAACTTCCGAAACAAACACATAAAATCATCAACAGATGCATATCACCAAGTAGATATTGCTGAATTGATCTTTATTTTACCATTTTTCATGTAATTCTTTTTGGTAAACCTGTTATCTATCGTAAATACAGCACATTTGACAATGTTGTAGTGTGACTTTTTTGGCCTCACATTTTTGATATTTGTAGTTAGAGCTCTTGGGGCTCTGTCAAACAAAGTTACATACAAAATATTGGTTGTAAATTGCAAAACATGATCATGTTGTTGGAATAACTTGGCATTTTACCACCCGTATATCATTCATTGTTGAGAATATTAATAAAATCATAAAATTTAAAAATCCGTTTTCGTGAAATTTTTGTTGTAGCTGAATTCCAGGGACAGCATGACAACAGGCAAGAGAAGCACGGTCGCCTTTTTAGTTTATGACAGGGTTTCTTAAAGGGGACCCCGTCCTCCTTGGAGGCCGCTGATCGGTTATCTGGGAGCACGAACAAACAGATGGAAATGCGAATATATATACATAACAATGTATTTTTATAGAAGAGAAGAAGCAAAAGTGTTGAGAGTCTTTGGTAGTTTGAAAAGCATTGGCATGGAACATAAGAATGAACTACATTCTTTCCCAGGGATATACTATAAAATGTAGCAATTTTCTCATTCTTGTTCTGTGATATCATTATCTTTCACTGCGTCGTCGTGATCATCCCGCTGCATAACAATTCTCGCTAACAAATAATTGACTGTTCTCCACCGGGTGTATATCCACTTGAACCACTGGCGACTGCATTAGCAGGCTTGTATTGTTAATTGCAACAAAAACGGTATTTTGAAATAGTACTCTTTATTTTACGCGTATGTTTCGACAGTATTTCATATACTGTATATGGGTCGCGACCCAAAGCTGGGCTCAACAAATACCTAAAAGTTATTGATTTTATTTCCTAGTAAATTTGGTGCTTGCGTAGTTTGTGCACCAAGATTGCGCACAACCTGAACATAGTATTGTAACAGGTTATGGTTCAGGTTGTGCGTCATTATGATGCACAGGTTTGACGAAAAACACTTACAAATATCGAGCCGTAAAAAAATTGCTCAAGGCTGCAAACTCCACACCCATGTAGAAATGATGGGCAATGACCCCAAGATGAATAATCACAGAGAAAAAAAAACTTCATGTCTGAAATCAAACTTGGGCCAAAAAGGTCCCCTTATCTGCCGGACTATATGGCTCGCACGGAAATGCAATTGAAAATATGTACATTTTATGACTATGCTAATGATTTGGTTTCTGCGAGACTAACTATCTATTCTTCTTCTATTCTTTTGTGCCGGCGGATCCGTATGACTAGCTCGGCCAAAAAGGTTCTCGACCCCTGTCATAAGGTATAAGTGCCAGCTGGCCAAGTCAGCTGACCTACGTCTCCATTGCCACAATATGTGAGCAGAATTCATACACTGTTGGCATGTGACAGCTGGCTAAGTGTCTGAAAAGTTTTTTGTTCGGACGGTTATTGTGAACCAATCACATAAGGTATTCTTCTATAGTACATCCACAGGTTTCGGTGGTTTTTCCAAGCTTCTAAAGTAGTGGTTCCCAACTTTTATGACTCGTGACTCGCTTCCGGATGTTTTTAGCACTCATGACCCTCTGTTTATCATTACAATGGAATTTATAGTGTTGTTATGATTTGCAGATTCCAAATCCAAATATGTTCAAACAATTCATGCTCAACAAAATGAAAACGAGATTATCGGTCAGAGACCGAAGACTTATCGATCGAAAGTTAGGGGATCCCGAAAACAGCGCTCTTACTCCATAGTGACACCTTGTGTCCCATCACTAATCAATTAATAACTCGCCAATTATACGACATAATTTGCCCAAAATCAATAGGCTTCTGGTCCAAGATAAGATTAATGCACATGCAAAATCTGGAGCAGATTCAATTTCGCTTTCGTAAGATATCGCGTGCATCTAACAGACATACTGACAGACAAATACCTATCAACATACTTACCGATTAAAATCGATAAGTAACAACCTGTGAAGTAACCTTATCAAGTGTAGCGTACCGGTATTCTATGAAATAATTATCCAAGTTCAGAATATCTTCCAATATGATCTGACGTCAAGTTTCCTCTCAATATTCA